TTTGCTTTCAGGGCGATACTTGCCGCAGAAAAAAAGAAGTTTGGAAGTGTTCCATCCTCTTCTTTAAAATTTGGTAGAATTCACCAGTGAAGCCATCTGTTCTAACTTGTCTTTGTTGGGAGGTTTTTGATTACAGACTCTATCTTCTTACTAGTAATTGGTCTGTTCAGAGTTCCTATTTCTTCATGATGCAATCTTCGTAGATTGTATGTTTCTACAAATTTATCCATTTTTGCTTGGTTGTCCAATTTGTTGGTTTATAACTATTCATTATTCTTATGATCCTTTGTATTTCTGTGGTATCAGCTGGAATGTCTCCTGATCTTAACTTGAGTACTCTCCTTTTTTCTTGATAAGTTTAAAGGTTTGTCTATTTTATTTTTTAAAAAATGAGCTCTTAGTTTCACTGATTTTTCTTTTTTTTTTTAAATTTCACTTATTTCTACTCTGATCTTTGTTATTTTCTTCTTTCTAGTAATTTTGGGCTTTTCTTTTTCTTGTTCCTTGAGGTGAAAAGCCAGGTTCAGTTCTTTCTTTTTTCTATTAATGCAGGCATTTATTGCTATGAACTTCTCTCTCAGAATTGCTTTTGCCACATCCCATTAAGTTTTAGGTACGTTGTATTTTCATTTTCATTTGTCAAGATATTTTTTGCTCTTTTATTTATTTTTTTGACCCACTGGTTGTTCAGTAATATTTAACCCCCACATATTTGTGAATTTTCAGCTTTACTCTTTTAATTTCTAGTTTCAGATCACTGTGGTTGAAAAGATGCTGAATGGGATTTCAACCTTAATTATGAAAAACTGTTTTGTGGCCTACCATGATCCTGGAGAATCTTACATGTATGCTTGAGAAGAATGTATATTCTGCTGCTTTTGGATAGCATGTCTGTAAACATCTGCTAAATCCACCTGCTCTAATGTGTACTTTAAGTCCAATGTGTTCTTATTTATTTACTATCTGGATAACCTTTCTGTTGTTGAAAATTCTTTGAATATAATTAGTTTTTTATTAGTTTGTTATTCTGGAAATCTATTTGTAATACTTAGAATTCATTAGCTAGCTTATACTTGTTGATTTCTAAATTATCTACTATATCCTCCATAAAACTATTCTAATCAACTTTCAAAGAGTTAATGGGAATTTTAAATTGATATGAATAATTATTTTAAAAATTGTTAATTTTATACAAATCAGCATGAACCTTCAAATACATAAAATTGTAGCAAATGTTAAAACCCATCAAACTAAAATTCCTTCTGACTCAGGTTTCAGTCTTCAACTATGTAAGGTGGTATTTTTATAGAAGGTCGTGACAGTCATCCTATACAGCATCTAACTTTAAAAGTTAGGAACACATTTCTGATTACTCCCTATCTTCTGACTTGTTAGAGCTCTGTTTTCTACAAATTATATGAGCCTTCACTCATTATTTGCTGAGCTACTGGGGGCTGTGTTCAGTAAGACACTTATGTAATTATCTATAGTTTTAAAGACTTTTTTTTTTAATTCTAGAATTTGCTGAGTAAGAATATTCTGTACAGAGTCTGTTTTGTTTCATTGTCTCTCTAGATTGTGGAAATAAACTCTTGTCTGTATTTCCCCCATAGTTAAATAACTCCTTCCAGATTATCATTTCAGAATGTGACTAGATTTCACAATGGGGAGGGTAGAATTTTTAGGAAACTATATCTAAAAATCACTAAAAAATGGTAATTCCTGACACTGGGAATTTACTTATTTGGCAGGACCAAATAAAGTTGAGGAAAGAAAGAAGGGTTGCTTAAAAAAAAAATAATAGCCAGATTTTGAGTATCTATGATGTACCAGGTATTTTTCTAGATATCTTAATTACATCATCTCATTTGCTTCAAAACTATAAAATTTATATTATTCCCACTTTTCAGAAAAGGATGTTAAGGCTGGAGAGATTAAATAACTTCCCAAAGATCACAGAGGTGCTAAGAGGTGGGACCAAGTTTTGCACCTAAATCTGTCTGACCACTATCTGCAGTGCCTCTCATGACAACACAGAGCCTGGTTTATTTATTTTTCATTTGTAAGTGGGAAACGGAGGTTCTGGTTTAGTAGAAACTTAGACTTGGATTTCATTCCAGCTCATTTTATTCCAGATCCAATTAAGTTTTTATTTATTTTATTTTTCCTAGAGCCTAGGTGGTAGTCTGAAGAAGAACGAAGTCTATGGACGAGCTTGAGTTGCATCCATAGAAAACAGATCATTTGTCTTCTTTCCTTTTTCATTTACCTGAACTCCTGCACCCCACATTCCTAGTGCATTTCCACCTCTCCCATTCTCACTTCAACTAAAGACTTGAGAAACTGAGACCAAAATGTAAAGTCTAAACTTATATTGCTGGGCGTCTGGGTGGCTCAGTCAGTTAAGCATCTGACTCTTGATTTCAGCTCAGGTCATGATCTCACAGTCATGAGATGGAACCACCCCCCCACCCCATAGGGCTTGGTGCTGGGTGAGAAGTCTGCTTAAGATTCTCTTTCTCCCCCTGCGCCTCCCCCTGCCTGCCTTGGGAGTTTACATTCTAGTAAGGAGAGAATGATAGGAAGTGACTAAGTAAAATTTTAAAAAGGATATCAGATAACAGTAAGTACTAGAAAAAAAGATAACACAGGAAAGGGAAAGGATGGTGGTGGTGGAGGCAGTGATCAGGGACGACTTCACCCCGGAGGTAACATTTGAGCAAGGACATAAAAAAGGTGAGTAAAGGAACAAGTCATGTGGCTACCTGAGAAAAGAGAGTTTGAGAATAAAGAAGCAGCAGTTCAAATACCCAGAGATGGTAAGCCAGTGGCATCAGAGCGGAATGTGCACAAGGAGAGTAGTAGAAACTGAAGTCAAATGAAATTTGGTTCAAGGAAATAATACAGTTTGAGACCAATGTAAAAACTTAATTTTATTCTGAAAACTATAAATTAATTTGTGGCTTTTTCCATCCAAAAACAGCTACATGAGCTATTACCTCATAAACTGTTAAAACACAATACTAAAATTAGTTTTCAAAGACAAGCTGAAATAGCATTTATACATATATGGTGGTTAATTTTATACATTATTTCTCTTTGAATTATTTAAAAAAATTAAGCACTCTCTCAAATGCTTATTTCAAAGCTGATATCTGATATTATCACAGTCGTAAGGCTCATCTGACTATCATACTTACAAAGACTAGGAAGTCAACCTTCTGTAAGTAGCTAAAAATCCTTAATACAAACATTCACTTTCAAAGCCAGGAAGTAAGTCAAATGGAGCATCTGAAAAGTTTCTCCTAGGTTAAAAATTAAAAATGGGAAAAAGAACCCTCCATTTTAAGTCATAAAATTTTTATGTTAAAGTGGAAGTAAATGAACAGAATTCTGTGTTAAAATAAAAAACGTAGCAGTAGAGGTCTTATCCAAAGTCCAAGACATTAAACTAACTAGAATGTACCATTTCTAGCATAGCTATGTCTTAAAGAAAAAAAGAAACTGTTTCTTAGACAATGTTTGTAAAGAAAATTCCATATATAAACCTAAACCCCATCAATTCACATTATTATAGTAGAAGCCTCAATTAAGAGGAAATATGATTTTTCTCTTGTACCTCCTCAGTTCTTATCTCTAGTAAATTTAAGCTGGTAGCTAGTGAGCTAGCATCCACAGAGTAACAGATATCTTCAAGGAAGTGTATCTACGATGAAGTTACTCATGAAGAAACTAATATAAGAATATCAGCTGGGGAGCACTGAGTAATATATATGTTGTATCCCTGAAACTAATACTTCAATAAAAAATATCAGCTGGGTCAATATTTAGCTATATTTAATTCTATATGATCATGCAATCTGTTATAAAACCCAGATTTTAAAATTTTCATAAATTTATGAAATGGCAAAATTCTATTTAGGCTTTTTTTTTTGAAAGAGAGAGAGAGAGAAACAGCGCAAGTAGAGGGAGAGGGAGAGAGAGAATCTCAAGCAGGCCCAATGCCCAGCACGGAGCCTGACGCAGGGCTTAATCTCATGACCCTGAGATCATGACCTGAGCCTAAATCAAGAGTAAGATGCTTAACTGACTGAGCCAACCAGGCACCTCTCTATTTAGGCTACTAAATGAGATCTTCATTCACAAATTCTCTCAGTGCTCCTACTCCCAAATATTAAATGAATGATGCTATTTCTCCAATTACATTGTCTATCTACAATCTGGTAACACAAGCACAATTCAAACACGTGCATCCTTTTCCAATAAATATTATTTACAATACTTTGGCTACAACAAAAATACTTCTAAGCTCTGTTTGACTGCAGGCAGTCTGACCACAATAGGAGCTATTCCATAAGAAACAGTTCTACCATTACTTCATATTGCGAAGTCTCAAACAGTTTAGGAGAAATTAAAAGATAAAGTACAGGTTCCTAAAATGTATTTTACAGGCCCTCAAAAAGAGTTATTAGATAAAAGCTATTTAAAGACAGACACCTTGCTGGCATCACTTTCAAAATATATCACAATCATACCATTTCTCACTACCTCCACTACTGCACTTGGTCTGAGCCACATCACCTTCCCCTAGTAGAACTGAAATTGTCTCCTAGTTACTCTGCGGTTAATCAGGCCTACTATGAATATTCTATATAATCCCTGAGCCTATATATCATTCATCTCACCCTATTATCCTGACCTACTTTTTCATTTCTCTATAGCACTTAATCATCTTTTAACATGCTGTAACATTTACTTGTATTTACAGCCTATTTTTCCTTATTGGAGTATCCACCCCCTAAGGGCAGTCATCTTTGTTTTGCTCTCCGACATACTCTAAGCACTAGAACAGTACTTGGCACATGATGTAAGATCAGCTGTAGAATGAACAAGTTTCAACTCTGAGACAAATATAAAGAAATAGTCAACCAGGTTTGATAAATATTAATTATGACAAAAATATGCATGATGTGCTCTTATTAACCAGAGCTTTACCATACCAGATAAAATAAGCAGTTCAATGATTTCTGCATCTCCAAGATAGGCAGCAGCGTGCAGTGGAGTTCTCTTTTCATTGTCCTGTAAAAAGAGGAAAGGTGGAACATAACTTTTAATATAAAATTAATTTCAGTATACTTTAAATGAAGAAAAACCATTAACTACCAACTTACTAGTTCCATAAGCTTAGTCTAAGTTAGCAACCCATTAACAGAATATTTCCTTGCTAGGAGAAGAAAGGCCTAAAAAAATATTTTGGCCTTAAAGGAATGGCTTTATTAAGTACAGCAAAAATAAAATCTAAGGTGACAGAGAAATAACTTCTTAGGCTTTCTTTGAATAAAGATGCCTATGCTGCTGATATACATAGGAAAATTTCCTTTACTTCATCCTGTTTTTCCCAATATACTTCCACAGTTTTACACAGTTTGGAATTGTTGACCTAACTAAATAAAACAAACCTTAACAAAAGGTTTGCCTATCAAAATGTTTCCACAGGTAGCCCCAAATTTTTCTCTGGGGATTTGAAGTTATCCCTTAAAACAATCTTAAGGATTTCTTAAAATTCCTGCCAATTTTGTTTGTGGCTTTAAAATATATTCCTATCTTTGTAAATATAAAAAATACACAGTTTTCCATTTTGCACAGTGAAGGAAACCATCAACAAAACAAAAAGGCAGGATGGGGAGCAAGATGGCAGAGGAGTAGGAGACCTGGATTTCGTCTGGTCTCAGGAATTCAGCTGGATAGGGATCAAACCATTCTGAACACCTACAAAC